AACAAAAATTTGTCCAGGCCGGAAGAAATCCTGGGCGTACGCGCCCGAAAAAATATTGCCCCAGCCCGAAAAAAACTCTCCAAGCCCCCCCCCCCCCCAAAAAAAAAAGTGGCCAGGCCCCAAAACAGATTGTCCAGGCCCCAAAACATACTGTCCGCACCCGAGAAAACATGGGGCGCGCACGCCCGAACAACTATTGTCCAGGCCCAAAAAAAAATGGTCCGGGCCTATGGGAAATAAGGTCCAGGCCCCCCCCCCCACAAAAGGGGGGTCACAAAAAATGTCCGGGCCCGAGTAGATATTGGGCACGCCCTGGGGCGGCCCTGCCCGACACGAACATGGGCCTCGTCAAACGGAAAAATGGGCGCGCCCGAACCAATGCCAAGCCACTGTGAGTTGGGCGCCGCCCGGAAAAAAATCCGGCTCGCCCGATACTGCATACAGCCATCTTGGAAGCAACATCGGGCGTGCCCGACATGCTGCCGGGGGGCAGGCCACCTTTCCCCGTCGCCCTCCCTGGCACCCACCCAAAAGGCCGCCGGGGGCGTTAGCGGGGCGTGGACCTGCCTCGGCCCTGGCGGGACGGGTGGCTCCCCGGGGGGGCTCCCGCGGAAGCCTTCGGGCCCATCGGCAGTCCCTGGGGGATCCCCGAAAGGAGAGGCCTGCGTGTGGTGGTCGGCTTGGCAGGGCTGGGTTATGCGTTGGCCTCCTGCGCGTGTCCACGCGCGCCTTGGGGGGCGGCGTCGTCGTGCGCGCGCGCGCGCGGGTCCTCTGCTGGAAGCTCTATCTCTCGGCATTCTCTCAGGAACCTTTCCGCCGGCCTGCTGCGCCTTCCTCGGGCGCGCCCTGGGGCTGTGCGGGGGGCCGTTCGGGGAATCGGCTCTTCTGCAGCTACCCTCGAGCGAAGCGCGAAGCGCGAGTAACTTCGCGCCCTGGAGGCTCCTGCGATGGCCAGGCGGAGTTCTACCAGGGCCTCCCGAGTGCCTCGCCTTCTCCTCCTCGTCCCTCCCCTCGCTCGCGCCCGAGGGACGCACCGTCGACCTGCGACGGTGCCCGCGGTCGCGCCGACGCGGCACCGCGCTCGGCTCGTATTGCATTCCGAGTGTGATGCGCGCAGGTGTTCCGGCATGGGTCTCTCAGCCCAATGCGCCGTTCCCTTTTTGCCCGAGCATCCGGGCGCTCCAGGTGTGCCTCAGCCCACTCGGTCACTCGACCTGCGCGCAATGACCCGATCCGGTCCCACCTAGCCGCTCCTCCAAGCCTCAGCTGCTGGCACAAACGTGCGTGGTGCTTTCGTGGAGGGCCGAACCAAGTCTCCCTCCTCCTTCTCTGGCTATGATGACCTTAGCTCACGACAGCGTACGCTGACCATGGCGGCAGCGACGAACTAGCAAGAACCCGCAGCGCCCGACCCATCATGCACAGTGTACTTGCCCAGTCGACCACCAACAGCCTGCGTCACAACAACTGCTCTCGAAAGGAGGACGGAGGGACGACGGAAAACGCACGAATGAGGAGAGGGATGGAGGAAGTAGAGGAAGTAAGGAAGGAAAAAAGGAAGGAAGGCAGGAAGGAAGGAGGGTCCAGGAGAGCGGAGAAGGAGGAAATGGTCGAAGAACGCGAGCGAAGCCTTCGCTCGCGTGCTCCATTGCGCCTTGGACCCTGACGACTTCGGAAGACGTCAGAGTCGAAAGCGAAATGGAGCACGCCCTCCGACCCTTACCGTGCGGATCGCATTCGCTGCGCTTCACGAGCCTCAGGAGTGCCACTCCCTAATCGCTCAAGTCGCCGCCACAGCAAGCACCAGCACTGCCATCGTCGGCGGCGGCAGGCGCTGCCCCCGTGGCCTCGTCGCAGTCGATGAAGGTCCTCCGATAGCGAAGCCGAAACCGCTGGGTCATGGATAGCGGGGGCTCCCTGCCCGGCGCGCGTCTCCTCACCCTCCTCCCGCACGAGCGCTCCCCTGCGACACAGCTCGTCGATCCAAAGTCGCGCCGAACACGAAATTACAAATCCGCCAGCACCGCTCCGTCACTGCTTGCAGTCAACCTGTATCATGAGGGTGCGCGGTCGGGGCGCAGGGGCCTTGGAGGCCCACGTTCACGTTTTTCTAACGAGGTTGGCCAGCAAAAGTCGCCAAGGATGGGCCGAAGGGACACGGATGCAAGGGTACCCTGGGTTTCTCAATAAGCGTGGGGGGAACCCCCCCTAAGGGGGTCAACCTCGCCTCGTCGTCGCGCCGCGACGGGGGTCGGAGCGCCTTCGGCGCGCGGTGGCTGCCCGCAACGGGGGTCGATGTGGGGCTGTCGGCGGGGGGTGGCGCCCCCCCGACGCTTATTGAGAAGCCCTGAGTGCCCTCGGGAAGGTTGCCCATCCTTACCGTGCGGGTGGACTGCTCACCACCTCCTGGGCATCCCCCCGCGGGCAGCTCTGCACCCGGAGTCGACCTCTGACGGCCCCTCAACGACGACGACGACGACGACGACGCCGACGCCGACGACGCCGACGACGATGCCGAAGACGCCGACGACGACGACGACGACGACAACGACGACGACGATGACGCCAACGCCGACGACGACGACTACGACGACGCCGACGACGACAACGACGACGAACTGGCCTTCTCCTTTGCGCCACAGACACCCTCTCTACGCGTGAAGTTCTGCGCGCTCTTACTTACCTCGGCCCTCTCCGTCCTCTCCGTCACTCCTGAACACCGCGCGCTTCGAAACTGATGGGTGCCATTACACCATGCTCTGCAAAACTCTGAGCACGTCACGCCCTATCCTGTGATCTATGCTGGCGGCGACCATATGGGGTTAAGGGGGAGGGGGGAAGGCGTCTTAGAAGGAAGTTGCTTCTTAAAAGGCGCTGGCACCTATAGATAAGACCCGCGCCTTTCTAGAAGCGGGGGAACTTCTAGGGAGCCCTCCCTCCCTCCCCCTGCCCCTGCTGTGCGTGGCTACTATGTTCGACATTTCCCATGCTGCTTGCCTACCCTCTTGCCTCTCTGCCCCTTGAAAATCATAGCTTGCTGCCCCAGCAGGCGCGCACCCGACGGCCCCTCGAGCCAACTTCAAAGGATGAGACGCGGCAGCAAGCCCGACGAATACGAGAGAGAGAGAGAGAGGAGGAGAGGAGGAGGCAGGTCAAGACCTGCAATCCACGAATCTGTGCATCGGAAGTGCGCCAAATCCACGTAGGTTCACTGTGGACCATAGTGTCGTAGCTGTTGCCCTATGGTGAGATTGCCTCAAGGGGGCGCTGCTGCTTTCATTCACACCCTTACGGTCTCTCGATGTCATGGTAGGTAGGGGACGTCTCGGTGAGTTGAATGACAATGGTGAAGCTGATTGCTTCCGTGCCTGAAAGTCTGTTGTTGTTGCACAGAGCGCCGTGCTAATTTCGCAACGCCATTTAGAGCAGGCCTCGATTGCGCCTTCATCGAGACGAGCTGCAAGAAACGAATCGACAACTGGGACGCGACCCTGCGACTTCGAAGGGATCGGGGTGGTCACGACAGGTGATGCCAAAAATCGTGCATGCCGAGGGTGCGCGGGCCCCGCGGGCCCGAAATTCCTCCCTGTGATCCTGGTGTGCGGCTGCGGTGACCGTGACTCGAATGCTGGAGGTAGTAGGCCCAAGCCCAGGCAGCATGCACGCCTTGAGCGGATACCCCCTCCGACTCCCCCCCTCCGTCCACACCCATCCCCAGCGTCCTCCTCCCTTTTCCCCTCCTCCCCTCCTCCTCCGCCTCGTCCTCCTCATACTCCTCCTGCTCCTGCTGCTGGTCATTCCACTGCCCTGCCTCTTTCTCCTCATACTCCTCCTGCCCCTGCTGCTACTCATACTGCCCTCCCACCGTTTTCTGGCCATTATCGCCCGCTTCCCCCCGTAGAACTCGGCAGTCTCGGTCACTCGAGGTCCTCGACCGACCTCCTCATATCCTCCTCATCATAATGCCCCTATTCCTTGTCCTCATCCTCCTCCTCCTCATCCTCCCTCTCCTCCCCCTCAACCTCAACCTCAACCTCATCAACATCATCATCAGCATCATCATCATCATCATCATCACCATCAGCAGCAGCAGCAGCAGCGCATCATCACCATCAGCAGCAGCATCATCATCCTCAGCAACATCGCCATCATCATCAGCAGCAGCATCAACATCATCAACATCCTCAACAACACAAATCGCAACAACACTAATAAGAATGATGATGAAGAGGATGACAACAACAATAATGACGGTAAGAATAGTGGAACTAACAACAATGATACGACTAGGAATGCGAATGTCAACATAATAGGAATACGAAAAAAACAACAATAGCAACAACAACAACAACAACGACGACGACAACAACAACAACAACCACAACAACAACAACCACAACAGCAACAACGATAACGACAACAACAAAAAAACACAGCGACAACATGAATACAAAGAATAACGACACTGATAACAATAACAACGAAAGCAGCAGCAACAGCAACAACAGCATCATTGCCATAAACAGTCATCCTTAGCAGCAGCTTAATCGTCGTAGTCATCGTTATCGTAATTAACATTGTCGGCCTCGTCATCATCATCATCATCATCATCATCATCATCATCATCACCACCCTCATCATCATAATCATAATCAACATCATCAGCATCATCATCGTCAGCATCATCATCATCATCAACATAATCATCATCATCAACATCATCAACATCATCATCATTGCCACCATCGCCATCATCGTCATCGTCATCGTCATCATCAGAATCCTCAACAACATCATCAGAATCGTCATCATCATTACCAGCAGCATCATCGTCATAATTATCGTCATCGTTGTCAGCCGCATCATCAGCATCATCATCGTCAGCAGCCTCATCATCATCAGCAGCAGCATCATCATCATCCGTATCAGCATCCACACTCCCCTCACCTTCCTCAAACCACTCCCCACCTTATCCTCTGTACCCTCCTCCCTCGCCTCCC